CAGTATTTCATATTTAGTTTCTTCCTGAAGAAGGTATCTCGGAGTACTCTTATCTAGCTTTAGTGTCCATTTAATATATCTGTCCTGAATACTTTCGATTTCTTTTCTCTCTTCCCATCCCCAGATTTCCGCCCCATACATTACTATGCTGTCTGTTAATGTTTCGAAAAGAAACATTCTCTTTTTCCAGTAATCTCTTAAGTTTCTTTCTCCTATTCCCCATACTTTTTCCATTACACTTAATGCCTTCTTTTTCAGATTTTTAATGTGCTTGTCTACTCCATTATTACTCTGCAATATGAAGCCTAGGTAATTAAATTCTGTAACCTCTTTGATTGTTTTGCCGTTCCATTGGAATTCGACCTTTTTCTTTCTTGCTCCTGCCTTCTTCCCTCTTAAAATTTTTGATTTGTCTGTATTTAATTCCAACCCTCTTTCTTTTATGTATTTGTTGAATTTTGTTAACATTTCCCTCATTCCTCTTTCATTATTCGCTAATAAAACTATGTCATCTGCATATGACACTGACCAAATTTTTCTTCTACCGATTACTATATCTCCTTCTTGCGCTGTGCTCATTTCCTTCTCTAAGTTTGCAAATGTTGCATTAAAAAGTACTGTGCTCAGTGGGCAGCTCTGTCTTATGCCTTCCCTCATTGATATAATCTTTTATTTTTCCCCATTGACTTCTATCTTAAAGTAAGTTTCCTCCTACATTTCTCTTATCTTCTGTTTTAATTTGTTTTCTATTTCGAGCTCTTCTAAGGTCTTCCATATCATACAAATGGAAAGGAAAATTTCACCTTTTTCTTTATTTATTTCTTCTTCGATAGCCGTTTTTCCTATATATACCATCTGCGTCTCTCCTAATGCCTTTTTGTTTTCCAATTCCTTTTCTAATCTTTTCCTAAGTATTTCCGCGTAAATTTTATATCCTGTGCTCATAAGAGTTATTTCTCTGTAGTTTTCCAGTTTATGTCTATCTCCTTTGAATAAAACAATTCGAAGTGGTCTGTATTCTGTCGAAACTGCCAGACGCGGATCGCGATTTCGATCTTTTTGGATCTCATCAGCGCGTCGCAGGCAGC